CAATTTAGTTTTTTTTATTCTTGCTGTCGATTAATTGCATTTTTTTTATTCTTGCAATCGATTAATTGCATCTAACACACACACAAAACAGTATAATATACTTATATAAATATAATAATATATATACACCCATATTATATAAACAAATTTGAATCGTTTTGACAGCACTAGTTTTTGTTTTATTTGTTTGTTATTTTAAATATTTCTGCTTTCATTTATTTTTATATCAGTTATTGTTGTAGTAATTTTAGTATGTCAACTTCAACTTATTTATCTATGGCCACGTACACACTGCAGCTAAATTTGGTTGTCAATTCACCTTAGTGCTTAATCCTGTTCTGTACACACACAGTTCAGTAATTTACGGGAGTGATAATAAAATAACGTATTTTAATTGAGTGAGTTGACGAGACATACATTTTCATTTAGTGTAACGTTATGTACACACAACAAAATGTACACACAACTAAATCTTTAACTAAAATTCAAATGAAAATGGAAAATTTTAATTTATTCAAAATATGAATAAAAACTATAATAGTGCCTCTATGATTCTAAAATAACACAGCCCAACATTCGCGAACAGGCCTAGTATCACTGTTGTTATTGAGGTGGACTCTTGTGACTTTGGGCGGTTTAGGGAGGTCACTGGGGGCCCCATAGATTATTTAGACATTATCTTTCTAGACCACAAGTTTTGTATGGGCAAGTGACATTCCAATTTTCTTCTTCTTCTTCTTCTTAAAAAAAAAACCTCTTGGTATTTTTGCAAAAAGATCTTATGTCATGTTGCATAAGGCTGATTTTTTTTGTACTTTACTGGTGCCTTGACATTATTCTTTCATTCATACTACCCAGTGCTCCCTCTTTCCCCGAATCCCACTGGGGTATCTGTATCGCTCTCAAAGGTCAACCATTTATAACAGGAAATAGACCATGTCCGAGCCAGAGGGAACACGCCATGTAGGCGTTCAGGCACAATATTTGCTTTTGATGGAGTGTTTTATGGTTTTAGGGTATATTGTTTGTATGTGTTTAAATGGAGGTGGTTGCTGTATTGATTTCTCTGGCCTGAGGTCAGTAATGGCTGTGGGTTGAACGTCTCAGTGGGTGTGACTACTCCCATACATACAGATAGCCTCACCACTCTCTCCTTCCTGTCTAGGAATGTGTTTGTAGATACAAGGCCGAACAGAGGAAATTCATGGATCATTATTGTATTAGATTTGTGTCAAGTGCCCTCCAGGATACAGACTTGTGACAGAATCAGTTTGGGCCAAGAGAGAGAGAGCAGTTCAATATGTGTGCATCTCAGCAGCTTTATTGCAATTATTTTATTAGTCATTTATTATTATTAAATTATATTATTAGTCATTAGTCAGTTATTGGTCAATATAAGGGATTTTTTTTAATGTATCGCATTGGTCAATAATATATACCTTTTCATGAGCTTAATACGGAAAAATGTGACTCTTTATAGTACTATTTATTGAAGCATATTGTAAAGAGTGCTTTCTTATAATAGAGGAAATCAGCTATAACAAGAAAATAATTATATTTTGTTAACTTATCGGTTTCTCATCAAATTTTTCCAAGAACAATTTATCTGCATCGGTGCGCATTCATTTTAAAGCTCTGTTCTTACTGAATGGCAACAATTGTCATTTTCTTCCTTTATTGTATTCTTCTAAATTTATTTGGCTATTAAAAACCATATAACAGAGATACTGAATTTGGTGGGATGGAGCCACCCACTACTCAGGCAATTACACACCCCTTCAACTCTAGGTGCCACTTTAATGTAAGTTAATTTACATTTACACAAACTCTAGAAGTTTGTTCCCAAAAACAAACACAGGATTTATTCTTTTGACTATTTGGATTATGTCCACACACGAGCTTCAACCTTAATGTTTTCTGCTCTCGGCTATATTATTTTAAAGAAATTTTAGAGATAAAATATCTATTGATATTCAAATGAAACGTAACTGCTGCCAAGAAAACTGCTGAACTATAGAAGAGCAGTAAAATGTTCCTCTGGGAAGAGATTCTGGGAATGGTGTGCATTCACCAAAGTGTTCAAACGGACACACACACAAATGTTTGACACTCTTCCAAATGACGAATGCTTTTCCTTCTCTATATTTAGGCTTTTACATACACTGTCCTGACTGCATTATAACTGGCACAGATAAGCCCGGGTTCCTCCGAGACATACCGCACCACTTATTATTACTGCCAAGGACGTATGCCGTGTGTGTGTGTCTGTGTGTGTGACACTGTGAAAGAAATATCCAGGCCACACTAGTACGCATTACAGATTCATGGTTTCCTCTCACCACCATGTACTATGTATGTGTGTGTGTGTGTGTGTGTCTGTGCACATGTACATGTATAAGATCCCACATTGAATCTGACTGTGTTTCATTTTTGCTTCTATCATCCTTTATGCCACTCTTTTCTGTCTGTCCTTTAATCAGCCCATCTTCATCTCACGTTCTCTCAACATCCTGTTCTTTTCTCCTGCGCTCTATATTTTCCCTCCTCTTCTCTATATTTTCCCTCCTCTTCTGTCACTCTCACATTATCCGTTCATTCATTCACTCACCCTCCAGAGCTCCCTTTCTTCTCTCTCTCTCTCTCTCATTCTCTATTTCCTCCATCTATGTTCCCTCAGGGGTCTCATTTCCATCCCAGTAACTGCCAATAGCTGATCAGTTTCTTCCACCCCCCTCGATTCAACCTTCATCCTTTTTTTCCTCATCCCTCCATCTCTGTTCTGTAGGAAGATTGTAAATCAGCGTTTACTGCACAGCTATTCAGGAGTGGTGAACTTGTGAATTGCTTGTGATGAGAAAGAGACTTGGCGGCACAAAATATATAAAATATTGGTATTAAACTAGTTAACACAATGTTTTATTGATTTGTCCTCGCTAACTGCACAGATAAAAGAAATTAACCACGTAAAACGTGAACAAATCACTTGACTAGTGAGATTCTTTGTAATGAATCAGTCAAAGTTGAGGAATCAGAATAAAGAACAGGAGTCATTGTTCTGAATAATGAACCGAATTGACTGAGAAAGAGACTGATCGGCACAAAATATATAATATCATGAACATGATCTGGAGTATTTATAAGCCATGGTATCCACTTAGCTTTAAGCTGAATGTGATGAAGGAGAGGTAGAGGAGGCTGTTCATTCCACTGATCAGTCCTTGGCAGTTGGTGGAGATGTTTTGATGAGGTGTCGCTGTATTCCCTTGAGGCCAATTCGACGAAATGACGCACATAGATGAAAGGCAACACCTCACGACACATCTGGAGAGTGTGTGTTTGTGTGTTTACTCAAGCTCACCTTGTGAATGTTCTTGATTCCCTGTGCAGTTCCTCATAAGGATTTTGAGATTCAAAAACACTGCCTGGTAATTGTGCTGGGAATTAGAGTCTTTAGCATGTTTGCAAGTAAGCTTATGTGCATGTGCAAGTTTTTATGGTGAATCACTTTATCTTTAAATACTCTTGCTTGCAATTTGATTTAATGTGCGTCAGCAAGCAATAGCCTTCATTTCACCGTCTAGGTTAACTATAGACCCCGTATAGTCCGGCTATGAGTAACCCACTTCTAGCCAAAATAACCTTGAATTTGGTTACATGTCGTTTTTGCCAACTTGCGAGACGTATGATATTCCATCATTTAAGCAAAGTCAACAGTGATTACAAGATGTTTGGTTTCATTTCTTTGACATGTTATCTAATTAATGAGTAGTCTATTCTTGGGCTATGGTTTAGAGTTAGACGTCTATTAAATTGTCACTGACTGCCCAAATTTTGCCTTGTTTTAGCATAGACTTCAGTTTGGACCGCTATTAGACGTCTTTTAGTTGCAAAATTGCTTGCTGGGTACAGTGGTCCCAAATATTTTGTTATCTAATGCGACGGAAATCATGCATCTTAAAGCATGGCTGAAGTGACCATGTACTTTTTGGAGGCATTGCATGTTAGAGATGTTGTAAGTGATAAAGGTTATTCTATTTATATTTAACATATCATTCATAGTATTTTTTTTAAAGGCAGCAGCAAATATGACCAACGCCAGACTTATTTTCACCCCATCCAGTGTCATGAAAAAAAAACTATAAACAAGGAGTTGACTTGCCTGCTTGAACACAGCACGTTCTCTCACAGACAGAGTCTAGTTTCAGATCTGGACACGGCTGTATTATTGAAAGTATGAAATGTTGTCATCTCTGTTTTTGATTAACCTTGCAATGCAACTTTTCTCACTGACTCAGCTAAGACGTCACAACATCCAGTGATATGCTGCTTGATTTACACACTTTTTACAGTGGTTTTAGGATAGTAATTATAGTTAAATTATAGTTAAATAAAAAAAATGAATGAGATATTCTGCTGCATTTCTAGGTCACTAATCAAATAAGCAAATTTGAAATCCTTTGTACAGATAATACTATAATAATAACATGCTAATAATATAATTATATATATATATATAATTTGTGATCCCAGATATTTGGACCCCGCAGTATCAATAAACAGACAAGTTCATGTTTGCCACAAGGAAAAATACTCAATAATTAAAACGCAATTTCCATTCTAATATCAAAGTAGTGCTTAGTATGCAGTGGGGGTTTATTTCTCATGTCAGATGTCACAATCATTAACCACATCTTTTAGCTGCAGGCAGCTCACAAATCAACTCCAGAAGTCACAAATCAGTGGGTTCCTTAAGGCTCTGCACAACCCAGCAGAGCTGAGATCTCATGTCTGCAGATACATTTCGCTTCCAGTTGAGAATTATAATGAAAATGAATGAAATTGTTAATTTTATGGTTTCATAAAATAATCATGCATCGCAAGAACTGAGAGATGATTATAAAATTGGATTGTAATGATGTACCAAAATCACATGCCTTTGGCAAGATTTGTTGATATCTAAACACAGTGTGTGTGTGTGTGTGTGTGTTTGTGTGTTGTAGCTGGCTCAGGATGAGGGAAGTCCAGTGCGGGGTTTCGCTGTTGTGGAGTATGAGACGGCGGAGCAGGCTGAAGCCATGCTGCTGGAGATGGACAGACAGCTGATCCAGGGTCAGGAGATACGCCTGTCTCTCTGTCCTCCTGGAACCTCTGGACGCAGCACTCTCGCCGCCCTCATCGCTGCTCAGGGTGTGGTGAGTGACGCGCACAATCACAGGGGACAAGTGCCATTGTCTTTACCGCCACAGCAAGCGACGAGAGCGTTTCCCACACATTCATGCAGAAGCATTAACGCACACACATGCATGTGTGAAACAGCAGTGGTGACAGTTTAATTACAGTATTCATACAAACCCTGCTGTTTCAGACATCTCCAGACCTCCGCTGCATTTCCGAGGCCTGAAATAAACCACTGGGCTATTTTCATCACGCTGGACAGATCCACATAAACCGGCAGTCTGTCTAAAACAACACTGTCCTGAAGATACTGTCAGTGGTGTTGAGCGTTAACTGATGTTCTTCAACACAATGGTTTTGCTTCGGGACTCAGATTATAGTTTGAGTGTTTGGTTTCTAAACATTTCTTTAATTTTGTTGATTTCTTGCTCTCAGCACCCAATAATTCACTACATAATACACATTGTGGTAGACACAAACCATGTTTATTTTTTTGCTGCTGGTGAATATGTATTTAATGCAGTCTGGTTCACATTTTCGTATAATCCTCGAGTAAGATAAAAGTAAAGCAAGTATAAAAGTAAGCATACAGTATTTAGCTTTCTGTTCATGATACAGAGATTCAACTTGAGCTCTAAATTACCCCCTTGTTCTTAATAAAGTCTTAAAAAGATTATTATTTTATATATATATATATATATATATATATATATATATATATATATATATATATATATATAATCATGTGTTATACAGTATTTGATAAAAAAAAAAAAAACATTTAATATATATACAGGGAAGTCTATTCAAAAGTTTGTGTTTGATTCGATTTTTTTCAGGATTCTTGATGAATAAAAAGTTCAAAACAACAGCATTTATTTAAAAAAAATGTTTTTTTGTAATAATGTAAAAGTCTTTGCTGGCACTAATGTGTCTGCTGAATAATACTATTAATTTCTTTAAAAAACCTTAAACTTTATATGCAACACAAGATAAATTTGCAATATATATATATATATATATATATGTTATGGTTGGTTGCATTTTATTATTTGTATTTAGCATCTTTTTTTCTGCTGTCTATGTGACAAGCTTATTCACAGACCACATTTGACTGTCTTTTAGCACAACTGAAACCAGCCAAGCCTACACACACAAAATCACTCTGTCATGTTCCTTCATGTCTCAGATAGTGGTTCTCATTGATGTTTTGTTAGAACGTAGATTTTTTTGTCTGGCATTTCAAATGTAACATTTCATTTTGAATGTGGGACTTAATTCTGCAGAATTCAGTATATTGTTGGCAGAGCAGTTTGCTACATCCGAACATTGATTGATTTCATTGTTCAGCTTTTCGCTTCTAGTGGACAATAATATATCTGACTACTGTTATCTTTTTACGTTTTACATTATACAGGAGCTTTTATCCAAAGTGACTTTCAGTAGAGGAGCATAAGCAATTTGTCACAGATTCTCCGTATACAATGCCACATATATTAGAAAGCTAGATTAGGAAACAAGCAAGAGCAGAGGAGAAATGCAGAGAAGAGAAAGAAGAGGATTTTTGGTTATTTTTTAATGATGGAATATGTTTAAAGACCCATTGAAATTATTTTATGAAAGCAATTTGTGTATCCACGTTATTATGTTGGAAATGTCCTAATGAAACAGGAAAATGTAGTAGGACATATCAAAGATCTTATCCTTCCTTTTTGAAAAATAGTTAATAGCCTTTTGAGCCAATAGGCAAGTGGTATTATGACAGGGGACATTTTCATTCTAGACAATTTTATTGTACAACATTTTATATACGCTCCTGTGTGCAAGTCATCAATATTTTTGGTCTATTTTTCCAGTGAAGAATTTAAATATATACGAATTCATATTTTTTGGCAATTTTATCAACTTTCAGGAGCATAAAAGCATATAGATGACTTCAAAGCTAACACATATGAACCGAAAGCCACAAACTGCTATTTTGATTTCATGGGGTCTTTAATGCAATGCTTTTTGTCTCCTCCTCCCTCCTTTCTCTTTCTCCTCCACTCTTTCTCTCTCCCTTACTTCTCCTTTTTCCTCTGAAAAATATCAAGCCAAATAGAGCAAATGCAAGCTGACATTTCTCAAGAAGTCCACCCATCCGAGCCACAGGCATCTCTGTACTCTGTCTGTCTCTGAGACCCGCCTACCCACTCATACACAGACTGTGAGGGCACAAGCTTTCCCTTCAGTCTGACGGGCCATTGCTTTTGTGTGTGAGTGCAGTCATATAATTTTAGCACTTGCTTGGGGACTAGCAGGTGTCTGCACTTGTCTTCCTGACTGGTTAGTGCTCCGGGAGCTCATACGCAAAACCGTCGAAAGATACATGCCTACTGGTTATATATCAGTCATGTTCAATGACTCCGTGCCTCAGTTATTGTCATTTGAGCGTGAATTGAAATAGAGTTTGTTAGGGTGCTTATCATAGTTACAGAACTTTATGTAAAATAAAAATTTTAACCTCAATTGGAAACTTCTAATTGCCACCTTCTAATGTGTTAGTAAAATCAAAGTGGTTCCAAGGCTAGTGACTGAACACTTGGAATTTATTTAATAAACAAAATCAAGTGGAAACTTGAAATGAAATGGGGGGGCTGGTGAGTTGAAATAAAAAACTAAAAAAAACTAATATAAGTGATTAATGGTGAAAACACATTTTACAGTGTTGAAAATCTAGCAGATGTTGTTTTTTCAATATATGCAGTCTATGTTCTTGTTTGTTGCTTTTTTAACGTATTGTTTAATACAAGTTGCATCAAAGTCCGATTTATGCATTTTTAAACATTTTTACATTGTAATTTAAAATTCTAATTATTTTATACAATTATAAATTCTAATGATTAATTTATAAAATATAATTATTTTTTTTACATTTGTACATTTTATATCACCGATACTTTTATATTACTTTATATTATGCAATTTTAGGGATGTCCCACTTTTTTCCAGAAAAAGTATGATACTTTCATTTTTGGAACTTGCTGATATTGATACCAGTATTTTATATATATATATATATATATATATATATATATATATATATATATATATATATATATATTAGGGCTGTCAAATGATTAATCGTGATTAATCACATCCAAAATAAAAGTTTTTTTTACATAATATATGTGGGTGCACTGTGTATAATTATTTTATATATATAAATTAGGGCTGTCAAATGATTAATCGCGATTAATCGCATCCAAAATAAAAGTTTGTATTTACATAATATATGTGGGTGCACTGTGTATAAATATTTTATAAATATAAATACACACACATGCTTGTATATATTTAAGAAATATTTTCATGTATATACTGTATATAGATTTATATATAATTTTGATTATATATAAATACAAATATTTTATATATAAATAATATTTTTTTCTTAAATATACATGCATGTGTGTGTATTTATATATATACAAAATAATTAAACACAGTGCACCCACATATATTATGTAAACACAAACTTTTATTTTGGATGTGATTAATCGCGATTAATCATTTGACAGCCCTAATATAAATACACACACATGCTTGTATATATTTAAGAAATATTTTCATGTATATACTGTATATAGATTTATATAATATTTTATATATAAATAATATTTTTTTCTTAAATATACATGCATGTGTGTGTATTTACACTCACCTAAATGATTATTAGGAACACCATACTAATACTGTGTTTGACCCCCTTTTGCCTTCACAACTGCCTTAATTCTACGTGGCATTGATTCAACAAGGTGCTGAAAGCATTCTTTAGAAATTTTGGCCCATATTGATAGGATAGCATCTTGCAGTTGATGGAGATTTGTGGGATGCACATCCAGGGCACGAAGCTCCCGTTCCACCACATCCCAAAGATGCTCTATAGGGTTAAGATCTGGTGACTGTGGAGGCCATTTTAGTACAGTGAACTCATTGTCATGTTCAAGAAACCAATTTGAAATGATTCGAGCTTTGTGACCTGGTGCATTATCCTGCTGGAAGTAGCCATCAGAGGATGGGTACATGGTGGCCATAAAGGGATGGACATGGTCAGAAACAATGCTCAGGTAGGCCGTGGCATTTAAACGATGCCCAATTGGCACTAGGGGGCCTAAAGTGTGCCAAGAAAACATTCCCCACACCATTACACCACCACCAGCAGCCTGCACAGTGGTAACAAGGCATGATGGATCCATGTTCTCATTCTGTTTACGCCAAATTCTTACTGTACCATCTGAATGTCTCAACAGAAATCGAGACTCATCAGACCAGGCAACATTTTTCCAGTCTTCAACTGTCCAATTTTGGTGAGCTCTTGCAAATTGTAGCCTCTTTTTCCTATTTGTAGTGGAGATGAGTGGTACCCGGTGGGGTCTTCTGCTGTTGTAGCCCATCCGCCTCAAGGTTGTGCGTGTTGTGGTTTCACAAATGCTTTGCTGCATACCTCGGTTGTAACGAGTGGTTATTTTAGTCAAAGTTGATCTTCTATCAGCTTGAATCAGTCTGCCCATTCTCCTCTGACCTCTAGCATCAACAAGGCATTTTCGCCTACAGGACTGCCGCATACTGGATGTTTTTCCCTTTTCACACCATTCTTTGTAAACCCTATGGTTGTGCGTGAAAATCCCAGTAACTGAGCAGATTGTGAAATACTCAGACCGGCCCGTCTGGCACCAACAACCATGCCACGCTCAAAATTGCTTAAATCACCTTTCTTTCCCATTCTGACATTCAGTTTGGAGTTCAGGAGATTGTCTTGACTAGGACCACACCCCTAAATGCATTGAAGCAACTGCCATGTGATTGGTTGATTATATAATTGCATTAATGAGAAATTGAACAGGTGTTCCTAATAATCCTTTAGGTGAGTGTATATATATATATATATACAAAATAATTATACACAGTGCACCCAAATATATTATGTAAAAAAAACTTTTATTTTGGATGTGATTAATCGTGATTAATCATTTGA